AGAGTCTGCGAATTCTCGGGGTCCTCGGAAATTTCCGTTGACGGGCGTACGCCCGGGGGCAGGCATGGTCCATTCAGCAAAGTGTTCGCTATGCAGCCCCAGATAAGATCACCCCCGGCGGTAAATTGTAGACAAAAATCGCGGATGGCACCCCAAGGATCGGCAGGCAGGCTCAGGTAGTGGATTATGGCACGTGGGAGATTGGGGTAGGCATTGCTGACGTCCAGTGGATTCCAATATAAGAATAGCTTGCATACAACTTTGTCCAGCCAATTTTCGGGTGCTCCATTATTGAACCTATCCATATGGCCATAAACGAGCCTGTCCACAGCATGTTCGATAGAATCCTTGGGGTAAATGCATCCGGGAAACTCTTGTGGCAAAATTGAACTCTCGGTCCTGTCAAATTCCTAGGGAGGAGAGTTTGACTTGGCGGCTGTCCCGAGGTAATGAGTCAGGTTCTTGCAGGGAGCAGCAAAGTGTGTATTCCGAATTTCGAGGATCCATTTCGGGATCAAGGATGCTGCGGATCCGTCTGGATTGTTGTTATACTTCCAGATCTCGTTTCTAAGCATATGAAACTCCAAGTCTGGTAGGGACAATGGGATCGCGGCCAAGTCAGGAGTCTGCCCAGCTGTGATATCTTGTTCGCATTTCTGTAGCATGCCAAGCACTTCGGTAATCTTATCTTTCCTCTGCCATAATTCATGCCATCGTAGCAGTGCTAGTAATGAGGTCTTGTACGGCTCAACAGCGGAGTCAGCGGAAGACATTTGATATGTGAGAGTTCCCCAAAGCTTAGGAAGCGGTTTAGAAAGATCGGTAGCCTCATAGACACTTAAGATTGCCCAGAGAGCTTTGTACGAAATCATTCTTCGTCTCCTTTTCACCTCCTCAGTAACACTCCCTTTTCTTGAACTCAGGAAGAAATCTTGAATACGATCCAACAGCCGAATTTCCAGATGATGGAGGAGAGCATAGATGTGGTCGACATAAACATGCCGTCTCGAGTACGGGCCTACAGCACTTCAGGTATCGCCTCGAGGAACGGTTCAAGCTCAACACCATTGGCCAATGACTTGGTTGTCCAGATTAGAGCACTTTTATCACGCTCCCTTCGTTCATTGGAAAATTCCGTCGCGGCACGAAATATTGCTTCCACCATTGTGGGAGGTTCTTCAGAGGAAGCAGGCTGTTGGCCATTTTTATCATTAGCCTGAGATCTGGGGAGGGCTTGAACGACATTCCACAGGAGTCCAGAGAGTGGAGTTCGATAAGGGCAATCCAGAGCGAGCAGTGGGAGGATGGTGAGCAGGAAGTCCATGGCCATGACAATGATAAGAATTGCTGCAGTCACTGCAGTGACAACGATGTTAATCCGGCTGAGGAATGCAACCAAGCCACCAAAGAAGAACAGGAGAGACATGTGCAAAAGCAGAGGCTGTGTGCAGATTGAAGCGTTTGAGCCCGTAGTACAGATATGAGAACGGGTGGCGGGTGCGGATCGCATATCTGCTCTGTGCAGAAAGTCTCGGGCCCATTGTTCGAGGAGAGTCGCGACAAGGGCGCAGGTTAAAGCTTAGTCCAAGGCTGATGAACCACAAAACATTGCAGATGACAGAGGCAGCCGTGGGAGTAAACGAGGGAGGAGTAGTGACAAAAGTTGTTCCATTGGCTGCCCCAGCTAGCTGCTGTGAGATCTGGGTGAGTAGGAAATCGGTTGTGTCACTGGAGTCTGCAGAGAGTGTCTTGTAACTCTCAATCCGGAAAGCAGTCAAACTAGCGGCAAAAAGACCCGCCTTGACTGGTCAGAGAACTTATGGTCTGTTCAGAAAGTACATTACTCACAAAAATCAGCATCCCCTCCATGTTATTCTTCCAGCTCTCCACAAGTTCCTTATCATAATTTTCTGCCTCCGATATGTAGTGTCAAGACAAGCCCTGGGTCAACCTGGCTTTGGCGGGACAGTGAATAACCTGGCCAGGACAATAATTGAATAACCCGGTCTGGAGTGATCACAATGGGCAACGAGAGGGCAGCGCTGAACAACCCAGCTCTAGAGGGGAAGTTTGGCTGTAGCCATCGAGGCGGGATGTCGTGAGACTCGTGAGAGGCGGTGGAGTAACCGCCTGGTCACCAAACTCGAGGATATCTCGAGGAGGAGATGATGTGCGTACGGGCGTCGTTCATGGTTGTGGTGAGAAAGTGCTGTGCCGTTGTCAGGTCGAAGTAGACTTGATATTAGATGAGGTAGAATCTAAGGCACATGTAGATTCTACCGAGTTTATATATTATTTCCCCTGAAACTGATGGTTGACTCTTTATGAAATAGCAGGCGATCTTGGGTGTTCGATCCTGGCAACGGGTGATCGGGGTATCCCGATCGTCGTTTTGGTTGGACGTGAAGACAAATTGAATAACCCCTAGTTGGTTATTCTGAGCCTCGATCGTTGTTAATATCCAATAGAGAATACGGATAACCCCTGGTTGGTTATTCTGTATGTGTCGTCTTGTCTTTGGTTGCAAATATGTTTAGATATTTGCCAATCTCGTCGCTTCGATAACCCAGGATACCCGGGGTTAAGGCTGAGCGAAAATGTTTAAGGCATGCCAAATCATGACATGTAGATAGACCAAAGCTGACCCGCAGCAGCATCATGGCTGGGATCCCTCTCTGAGGCCGTGCCAGCGAGAAGTGCGGACGTATTCATCACAGGTTGGTGCTGCTGTGGGTGCTGCGAAGGTGGACGGACACGTGTCGATGAGATTTCAGTCACAGCAAGATGTCCGCACTAGATCAGAATCTGATTGGAAAGCTTCAAAAATCAGAAGCCGTGGGTGTTAGATCTATTTTCTGCCAGCTTTCCGGAAAGAGATCAAAAGGTTGGCGGATCCGAAACCGGCACCAATTTCCGTCACCGGAGATGAACTCAAGGATGTTTTCGAGAAGCGACTGAGCCCCCTGCGTTTCTGCCTTCTCAGTTCGACTCGGCACAACATAAAATCAACTAAGTTTTAGCAACGTTGTTGCCCGAGAAGACCGAAGACACCACCCCGAAAGGTTTCTTTTCACACGCCAAAAGGGTTCTTTCCGGGTCGTTTGACTTTTTAGATCCATACGGTCCTTCATCTCACCAAATAATCTTAATTACAATTCCATAGATATTTCCTGACAATGGTTCTCACTAGATGTTCCAGAAGCCCAAATTCGAAGATATTTCACGAAGTGCAGACTCTGAACCTCTCTCGACTGCGTAACCAAATGGTTGCAGATAAGGAGTCTCACGGCAATACACACCACTGGACACTGAATGGCGGTTATCTCAGCCCCATCGTGAACTGGCTTCGGGTGGGAAATATCAACATACACAGTAATAGGAAGCTCATCCACCCTTGTAGAAGTTTCCCGAGCCTCCGGCGCCAACCATTGCTTTCTGGGAGAAGCAGATAGAAGATATAGAACGGTGCATAGACATTCATGGTTTCCAGTCATAGTTTGTGTTAGCAGGTGGTGACCACAACACGCCGTCAAGTTCTTCTTCCTTGACCCTCGATCCGCGTTACCGTTGTCAGACTCGTATAATTCCGCGTAATTTAGTTATGGTTGTTCTCTTTCTGTGTGAGGTCCCGGTATTTCAGAGGTAAAGACCCCACTAGAGTCGCCAAGAAACCACGTAGTTCGCACGGAAGTGGGTGGGTGAGGTATTGGATTCAAGACAAGCTCAGGAACTACCTGCTCGCTGGCTACTTTAAATAGTATTGCACCGTACTGCGTCCCTTGTATTTAAAAAGGACAAGTTGAGCCTTCGCTTCGCTCTGGCACAAGAAGTCGTTAGTTACTTTTCTCCATCCCCTAACGGCACCACTTTAATACAACCGTATGACCCTAGATCTCTCGAGCTCAAGCCTCAGTAGCTCAAAAATTATTCTCTAAATAAATTGTACGCACCCAGATCTGCACACGTTAAAATTCCAGAGGGAAATTGTGGCACTCACGACTCGTGTGTCATATAATGCATCCAGTCATGTAATATTAATGATGCATTGCAGTCACGTTGCCTCCACGCTAGATCCTCTCAACCGCACTTTTTATTTTAGATCTCCCAATTGAACACCACTTTCCAACTTGCCATATCTTACAACATAAGTGCTCGTACATCAAACCAAATAAAACAGCCCTCAATTCGTTGCAGCAGACCCACCTCTCGAGCAGGGTATTCACTCTCCAACTTCGTCAAGAACTTCTTCCTTGGTTGACTATGGCTTCAGGCCCGAGATCCTGGCATCTGAAATTTCGGCACACGAGACCGATTGCACATGGGCATGGGAGTTTAAAGCCGCATAGGTCCCCAACCTGGCCCCGATTCTGGCAAGTCTGCAATGTGTTAGATCCTCGATATCAGCATTAGCACACTCTGATGGGTAGGATTCTCACTCGTACGAAGAGACCAGTGCAACACTGTCCGAAATCATTGCAGACTCTCCGAACCGGGGTTTTTTAGTTTTTCGTCCGACACTATCGCATTTGCGAACTCCGATCACAATCTCCCTTGCAGCATATTAGAGAGCTTGTGCCCAAGCAGCATGTAGCTTTTTACAAATTCTGCCTGGTAGTCAAATTCCAACACCCCAATGCTATTACACCGTCGTAATGGCCTTTAGAGGGAGAGAAAAAAAGGCTGCATGCCGCTTGGGCACAAGCTCTCTATTACTCAGCTTGAGGTTCCCAAGTCGAGCCAGCATTTGGCAGCGTAATATCTCGGCACCTGCAGAGACGACTCTTTAACCAGGAGGGTGTGGTGGAACCGCACAAATTTCTCTTGCCGTTATGACTACACCATCGCTTTCGAGTCCTGTACTTTTGGGACCCAACAAAAAAAAATTGCGCAATCTCATTGGATTCGAGAACAGTTGTACAGTAAAGAATGGTTATGTCATACTTTGGGATTTGAACACGCAGGCCCAGGCTGACCCCCAAAAAAGGAACAGAGATCGAAGATTCAAACACGGGGAATCGAACCCTGGTGGCCTCCAGGAACTATCCTTTCACGGGTCCATAACATGAGCCCGGTGTACACTACCCTGCACCATATCCGATTCTTTACCTCTCCACAGCTGATTCACTAGGTTAGCATTCCTCTGTCAGAATATGCGGGGTGGACACCCGAGATACCCGAAACGAATCAACTCCGGTCCCTAAGCTCAGGTAAGTTATGAAGGGCACTCACGACGAGGCGTGGTTTGAACGCGGTCGAAAAAGAATGGATTGAAATTCACCCGATATTTCTTGGATCCTCTGACACACTGCTGAACGACAGAAAAAAAAAAGATGAGGCTCTACGACAAATATTCGGCCACGCCGGGGAGTCGAACCCCGGTCTGCCTCCAATCTTCTTCTTGACATCTCCATATGGGAGAGGCGGTGTACCATACACCATGTCCGACTCATTTCACCCCTACGGAGTGCATTAGGATCTCAGTTTTCTGCAAAGCCGATGCGGCTCAGACAAATATGGACGGGCCCCAATTTAAACGATTCACCTCGATTCCCTAAGCTCAAGCTCAACTATGAACGGCACTCACGACGAGGCGTGGTTTGAACTCGGTCAGAAAAAGATGGATAGAAATTCACGCCGATTTTTCTTCGATCTGCTGACACAGTGCTGAACAGAGAGAGAAAAACAAAAAGATGAGTCTGCGACAAGTATTCGGACACGGGGAGTCGAACCCCGCTCTGCTTCCAACAATCTGCTTTTGCGTATCACAGTATGTTGGGATGCCGTGTACCTCACACCATGTCCGATCCCTCGTATCCCTACAAAGTGAATTAGGATCACAATTTTCTGCGAAGCTCATGCGGCTCAGACACTTGTAAATGGACAGAACATCAATTGCCCAATTTAAACGATTCAACTCGACTCCCTAAGCTCAGCTCAAGTAAGTTATGAACGGAACTCACAACGAGGCGTCGTTTGAGCTCGGTCGAAAAAGGATGGATCAAAATTCACAACAATTTTTCTTGGATCCACTGATACAATGCTGAATAGAGAGAGAGAAACAAAAAGATGAGGCTAAAACAAGTATTCGGACACGGGGAGTCGAACCCCGCTCTGCCTCCAACATCATTGGAAATTTCTCTGCAAGACGAGAGGCGGTGTACCCTACACCATGTCCGATTTCTCGTACTGTTAGAAACCTCACTAAGCTGTAGCAATTTGCAACATTCCAGTTAGACTCTTCGTCAATGAACACAATTGCAAGACGCCCGATGCACTCCAAATAATAAATATTCAACCTCTCGAGTACGCTATTGATATTATGAGACAACCTTTTTCCGCGCTCACAAGTCGGATGTTTCTGCGAGCCGGCATAAGAAAGAGTCCAAACATGTTCCATTCGGACACCGGGAGTCAAACCCGCTCTACCTCCAACACGGCAATTTTCGGCTAAGAGGCGGTGTACCATACATACACCATGTCTGATTCCTCGTACTATTGGAAACCTCACTAGGCTGTACCACTTTACATTCCAGTTAGATTATTTGCCTTGAATGAATGCAAATTACAATTGCAAGATGCCCGATGCCCCCCAAAATATTCAACCTCACTAGTACGCCATTGATATTATGAGACTCCTCATTTAGCTTTTTTCCGCGTTCGAAAGGGGGGAGGTTTCTGCGAGACGGGCATCACCAAACAAAAAACTGAACTGATGGCCAGTCATTCGGACACGGGGAGTTGAACCCGCTCTGCCTCCAACAATCTTGCGTTCCAATGAGCATGTAATTGGGAGGCCATGTACCGTACACCATGCCCGATTCCTTTCGCTCATTTGAAGCTCGCTAGGTTCACACTTTTGTTGGATCAGCCCACTGCAGCTGAGATCGAGCAAAAACACTCACATCAATGACAACAGGCCCCGGGAAGCTCCTGCCAAGGATTGTCCGAAAATTAAGCTTTTTGAGAGCGAAAATGGGCAATTTCCTTGTCCATTCATAGGCCAAAAATCGGCCAGATGCAAGCTTTTTGAGCCCAGATTTCGGGAAATTTCCCAAAAATTTCCACCAAAGTTGTCACCGACAGATCCCATCAATCGGCATCGTGTACCGGCACTGTTTGGCAGGATCAGCACAGAAACTCACGGTGAAGATACCAAAGCCGAATACGAGTAAATCGGGCATTCCGTAGCGCAGACGGTCAAAATTTTATTTTTTTTGCGCGATTTTAGGCAAAATTTATGATGCACGTGATGACCCCTGTCCGACTTAAGCTTTTTGAGCCTCAAATCCGCCTTTGGCGTAAGCTTTTTGAGGCCAAAATTCAGGATTTTTTCGGACAATCCTTGGCACGAAAAATGGGAAGTGTCCTCATTTGGGTCAAGGAACGTCCCTGGGTCACAAAGCACTCTAAAACTGTACTACCATGTCAACAGAGGTGTGTTAAAAAAAAAGGACAATTCAATTGACAACTACTGAAATATAGACATTTAAACTATGGAAGGTAAACACTATCACACAGTCCTATGAAGGGTGCTCTGCCAGTGGTGGTAAATAACACTTTGCCCAACCAGTACCATATGCAAATTTATTATATGACAGCAAAGTTTGCTGTCTGCCAATTATGAGTTTGTTAAGAGGCATCCAGAACCCAGTTCTGTGTTCATGAGGCAGCCAGAAGAGCAATTCACCAGTAATGGACAAGACCCAGCCTTCCTGAATAGTCCAAAAAGGAGAAACACAAGGGAGTTCAGGCTGAAATAGAAGAGAGTAAACACTGGGAACCTATAGAAGAAATTAGAACTTACGTTGATAGAATTGCTGAAATAGGAGATTGTAGAGCCTGATTGAGAAGGTGGTATATTGAAGTGGGCAATCTGGAGGGCATCCTGTGAGCATATATTGCTATCCCAGGAGCTAGAGACGATATGCTTCCTATCAGGAGAGAAGGCTATTGATGTGACCGAACCAGTGTAGCCTTCTAATAGCTCACCCAGTGGTGCTCCACCCTCTGCATCCCACAAGCGCACAGTCCTGTCATAGGAGCCAGAGACAATATGCTTCCCATCTGGAGAGAAGGCTACTGATGTGACTGATTCAGTGTGGCCTTCTAATGGCTCACCCAGTGGTGCTCCACTCTCTGTATCCCACAAGCGCACAGTCCTGTCATCAGAGCCAGAGACAATATGCTTTCCATCTGGAGAGAAGGCTACTGATGTGACCAAATCAGTGTGGCCTTCTAATGGCTCACCCAGTGGTGCTCCACTCTCTGCATCCCACAAGCGCACAGTGCTGTCATGGGAGCCAGAGACAATATGCTTCCCATCTGGAGAGAAGGCTACTGATGTGACGAATCAGTGTGGCCTTCTAATGGCTCACCCAGTGGTGCTCCACTCTCTGCATCCCACAAGCGCACAGTCTGTCATAGAGCCAGAGACAATATGCTTCCCATCTGGAGAGAAGGCTACTGATGTGACCCAACGAGTGTGGCCTTCTAATGGCTCACCCAGTGGTGCTCCACTCTCTGCATCCCACAAGCGCACAGTGCTGTCATTGGAGCCAGAGACAATATGCTTCCCATCTGGAGAGAAGGCTACTGATCTGACCCATCAGTGTGGCCTTCTAATGGCTCACCCAGTGGTGCTCCACTCTCTGCATCCCACAAGCGCACAGTGCTGTCATAGGAGCCAGAGACAATATGCTTCCCATCTGGGAGAAGGCTACTGATGTGACCAATCAGTGTGGCCTTCTAATGGCTCACCCAGTGGTGCTCCACTCTCTGCATCCCACAAGCGCACAGTGCTGTCATAGGAGCCAGAGACAATATGCTTCCCATCTGGAGAGAAGGCTACTGATGTGACCGAATCAGTGTGGCCTTCTAATGGCTCACCCAGTGGTGCTCCACTCTCTGCATCCCACAAGCGCACAGTGCTGTCATGGGAGCCAGAGACAATATGCTTCCCATCTGGAGAGAAGGCTACTGATGTGACCGAATCAGTGTGGCCTTCTAATGGCTCACCCAGTGGTGCTCCACTCTCTGCATCCCACAAGCACACAGTGCTGTCATGGGAGCCAGAGACAATATGCTTCCCATCTGGAGAGAAGGCTACTGATGTGAGCGATACAGTGTGGCCTTTAATGGCTCACCCAGTGGTTCTCCACTCTCTGTATCCCACAAGCGCACAGTGATGTCATAGGAGCCAGAGACAATATGCTTCCCATCTGGAGAGAAGGCTACTGATGTGACCCGACTAGTGTGGCCTTCTAATGGCTCACCCAGTGGTGCTCCACTCTCTGCATCCCACAAGCGCACAGTCATGTCATAGGAGCCAGAGACAATATGATTCCCATATGGAGAGAAGGCTACTGATGTGACCCAATCAGTATGGCCTTCTAATGGCTCACCCAGCGGTGCTCCACTCTCTGCATCCCACAAGCGCACAGTGCTGTCATGGAGCCAGAGACAATATGCTTCCCATCTGGAGAGAAGGCTACTGATGTGACCGAATCAGTGTGGCCTTCTAATGGCTCACCCAGTGGTGCTCCACTCTCTGCATCCCACAAGCGCACAGTCCTGTCCTCAGAGCCAGAGACAATATGCTTCCCATCTGGAGAGAAGGCTAATGATCTGACCTGAACGTGTGTGGCCTTCCTAATGGCTCACCCAGTGGTGCTCCACTCTCTGCATCCCACAAGCGCACAGTGCTGTCATCAGAGCCAGAGACAATATGCTTCCCATCTGGAGAGAAGGCTACTGATGTGACCGAATCAGTGTGGCCTTCAAGTACTCCAAGTGTGCTGGCCATTTCTCCATCTGTCCTTTGAAATTGACAGAAGTTCTGGAAACTGTGATCGGAATCTTATGCTAACTTCTGACTGCACTGGTGCAAAGGCTAAGGCTGTCACATAGAGATGTGGTGTACTTTGAGTGATTGCAGCCCAGAAGAAACTGATAAATCGTTTTACATCTGCAGCAAACTGTCTTAACATTGGATCCTAATGAACAATTAGTCCCTAATAGCATCAAAACACTCTTCATACATTACTCCATGCTATAAATTTTGATAGAGCCGGTGATGCAGTGGATACCATTCCCAGTAGG